TAAAAGGACAAAGTCCTTGATAGAGCATAAAAGAGCTTCTATAAATGGTCACTTTGTTTCTTTCTTTCCTTTTTTTGTTTGTTCAAGTTACTCGCAAGGTGGATTGCTATCTCTGTGCCTAACTTAGAAGCATCAGCACAGTCCTTTTTCCCTGGCTGCATTAAACATACCATGAACATGAGTTCATAGTCAATGGTAAATTTCCACAGTTTTCTTGGTGAGTAGCTCAACTACTTTTTTAACCCTAGAAAACAATTTTAGGTGAACAATCACTGTTTTCTACTCCAATAATCTGATAAAGAAAGTTTCCTATAAGAGACACCCGTACTTTCAAGTCTACCAGTTAACCAGCCTTAGAACTATGAAAATTAACTTCTCAATATTACAGGAAAATCCTTTGTCCATTTTACTAAACAGACAGACAGAAACTCAAGTTTCTGATGAGGCACAGAATGTGTTTGGATTTGTCTGAAAATTTCACTCAGTTTGTTTGTTTTCTAGCTAAACCTAATCTATCCTTGAATTTCCTGATAATCTTAAAAATGTCTTTTCAGGTTTTTGTGGAACAAATGCTGGTTTGATCAAATTTGGATCTGAACAAGTTTTACTTGTTGCATTTAGTAGGTCTTGCATTTTCGATGACGTTAATGAAGCTTAAGCTTTGGGGTCCCTCATCTACACAGGCCCCTTCCAAGGCCCTGGGAGGGGCCTAACAATTTTGCATTCATCATTTTGTATTGTTTTTCTTAAAGAGAGCAATCTAAATTATACAAGCTTTAAGCTCCAGAAAAACCTGGATTCTTCCCTATATTTGGTTGTTACAAATAGTTTTTGTTTCTAGATGAAGAAATCTAGAGAAGGGCGTCCTCTCTCCTTTCTCCCCATGCCGTTGCTTTATTGATGTAAGTGGGTCATATGTCTTTAGGATTGTCTCACATTCTGGATATGTTGGCTCTCTTTTCATTGTCCCGTTGAACTTGTTAGGCTATCCCCTGTATTTCCAGGAAGCTGGAAGTTAGTTCCAGCGGCTTTTGGATTCAGAACTCCAGCTTAATATTGAATTCTGTCCCTCCCCCTCCTCCATTCCATTCCATGTTCTACCCACTTTAAAAATCTTTCTCTTCTTCAAGGGCTCCCTGCCCTATCCCAACTCCTGTCCTTTGCATTATACTGTTCTCTCAGCATTGAAATTCTTTCCATGACCTTTATTACTAAAATTCCATCCATCTTTCCAATCTTAATTTAGGTTCCCTTCCTCTGGCTGTCCTGCAGTGCCTCTTAGATATCACTGCTGTGTGTTCCCTCAGCCCTGTCTACATCTCTATCTCACCTACTGCCATGATTTTTTGATTATGCAGTGGTTATGTAAACCCAAGACCATCAGCCCAGGTGTCTGAAAAATGCCGCTTTCTTTGTTTTTCTCTATCTTAACTTAATTTCTATCTCTTGCTCCAATTATTTTTCATTCTGGTTAATTCAGGGTACACCCAGTTATTTCAGGATCTTTCTGCTCTAAGTATCATCCAACCCTCTACTTCAGGTGGCATGTAAGTTCTACCAGGACATTAGTGGGAATGGGGTCTGTGTGGTTAGTAGCCACATTGTGCTTCATCTTAATCCCTCAGGTCTCCATTTGTTGGTCCCATAATGGCACTGATGGAGACTTTCGAGATTCTCCCCGGTTATGGATGTTAGTCCACTCTGGCATCCACTGCTGTGGCCCTCTGTCCTCTCTCTGGTTTAGCCATCTTCCAGGGATGTTCATACCTATCTTGGTCATCTTGGAAAAGACTTTCCACTTGACTGTGCTGTGTATACAGGGAGCATTTGTCTAAGCATCTCTTTGTAGTCATTCCTAATCTGTTATGTGTCTTCCACCTGGACAAGAGGTTTTCTGCACAAGGCTTTCTGCCTCCTCAGACTTTGCCAGAAGGCCAGATGCAGATATCTTTTGTTTCATTTTTCAGAGCTTAGTTTTGGATCTCTTATTCACTCCTGGGTACTTCAAATCTGTTGTAGGTTTTGAAGATGTAAGCCAGGTGGTAGGGGGCCCTTATCAGAGACCTAAAATGTATCGGTCTCCATTTCTTTCCTCTTAGGCTTTCTTTCCTTTCTCAAGCCTAAGTTTCCTTCCTTTTTAAGGCTGAATAATATTCCATTGTATGCACATGCACACCACACTTTGTTTATAAAGTCACCCGGTGAAGGATATTTGGGTTGTTTCTACCCTTTGGCTAGTGTGAGTAATGCCACTCTTTGCTCAGAGGTTGTACAGACTTCTGTCTGAGTTCCTGCTTCAGTTCTTTTGGGTATAAACCCAGAAGTAGAATTTCTGTATATTTGGTAATTTGATGTTTAAGATTTTAGAAACTGCCTTACTGTTTTCCACAACAACTGCACAGTTTTAGATTCCTACCAGTTGTGTATAAGTGTTACAATTTTTCCACATCCTTGCTAACACTTGTTATTTTCTGTTTTCTTTTTCAAAAAAAATCATTCTAATGGGCTTGCGGTGGTATCTTAGTTTAGTTTTGAGTAAAATTTTCATATAATTTAGTGATGTTGATCATCTTCTCAGATGCTTATTAGCCATTTGGATGTCTTCTTGGGAGAATTGTCTATTCAAGTCCTTTGGCTATTTTGTCATTGAGTTGTGTTTCTGTTTACCTTTTGCATTGTAGTAATTCTTTATATATTTTTCGTATAGTACCTTTAGAAAGTTTTAATTCTCAAATATTTTCTTCCATCCTGTGGGTGGTCTTTTTACTTTGTGGTGTTTTCCTTTTGATGTGGAGGTTTTTAATTCTGATCAATTCCAGTTAATATTTTCCTTTTCTCTTTTTGCCTGCATTTTTGGTGTCATATCCAAGAAATCATCGCCAAGTGCAATGTCATGGTTTCTAATAGTTGTCTAATTTTAGCTCCTATGTTTAGGTCTTTGATCCATTTCAAGTTAACTTTGTACATCGTGCAAGGTAAGGTCCTAATTCCATTTTTTTGTATGTGGATATCCAGCTTTCTTGACAACATTTGTTGAAAAGATGGTCCTTTCGCTGTTGAATGGTTTGGCACCCTTGTCCAAAAGCATTTGACATATATCTGGAGTTTATCTCTGGATTCTGTTGCATTGGTCTCCATATCTGTCTTTATGCCAGTACCACAGTGATTCCCACAGCTTTGTAGTAAGTTTTTCAATCATGAATGTATGATTTCCAACTTTGTTCTTCTTTTTACAGATTATTTGGGTATTTGGTGTCCCTCGAGTATCCGTATGAATCTTAGGATAGAGGTTTCTTTTTCTGCAAAAAGATACTGTTGAGATTTTGATAGGGACTGCCTTGACTGTATATTGCTTTTTGTGTTATTGACATGCTAAAAATATTAAGTATGCCTCTCTATGAATGATCTATGATGACATGGGGAGCCACAGGTAGGTTTTGATCAGGATTCCGACATGGTCTGATCTATATGTTACTGGAATCACTCTGTGGGTGCTGAAACAGGAGAAGAGAGACCCATAGGCGGCTTCCACAATAATCTACATGGGAGGTAATGGTGACTTGGACCAGCCACCATTCCACCAAGGTGACGGCAGGAAGAGTGAAGAGTGGTCAAATGTGGATATATTTTGAAGATAGAGCCAAATAACTTTCCTTGTCCACTGGACCCGGCTGTAAGACAAATGCATTCAAACTATGATGACTTTGCTCCTACTAATAGTTATATTCACATTGGTGAGGTAATTTTACTGTATTTGGTGAGGAAGTTTGGCCGTGAGCTAACATCTGTTGCCAATCTTCCTCTTTTTGCTTGAGGAAGATTGTCACTGAGCTAACATATGTGCCAATCTTCCTCTATTTCTTTGGTCTGTGGGACACTGCCACAGCATGGCTTGTTGAGTGGTGTGTGGATCTGTGCCTGAGATCTGAACCTGTGAACCCTAGCCGTCGAAGCGGAGTGTGTGAACTTAATCACTACGCCACTGGGCCAGCCCCTGTTTTTGCTTTTTAAACCACTTTCACATGTGGTTACTTATTTGATGCTTGGCAACACTGTAGGTAGAAGTTATTTTATTTTTATCAATGTTGAAATAAAGTGTTTGTAAAACAGAGACTTTTTAAATAACATGTGAAATAGATCCAGTTCCTGGCTTTCTGCTTAATCCAATTCTGGAGATGCCATAGAAGTGAGGGGAGAGTATTTGGATCTGAAGAACTAAAGTAAAAACTGTGAGAAAGCTTAAAGAGATAGAACATTGTTATGAGATGGTGTGAGTGAAAATAGTAGCTTGAGGTTGAGAATAGATGGGAAACACTGATAAGGGAGATACTTTGATTTATTCACTCTTTTGTCTACCATACCACAAGATAGTGAGTTACAATTAAGCGAGAAAAGTTCTTGGCAAGGAGCAATGGTTGGTGTGGAGGTATAGCAGTTCCCTAAGGTAAACAGTCATTTCGTGGGGGGTCAGCATACAGGGGCTGGTCCCACTCCATGACATGAATGTCCTCCTTGAGAGTGCACATCCTCCACCTTCTTAAAATCATCAGGAGTCTCAAAACCTTAAGTCTGTGCTTTGGCCACTCCTTGGTACTCATTGTCACACAATATAATTGATACCCTCAGGGGAACATGAGAGCACGGGAAAAATAACCAGACAACTGAAAAGACCATTCACTACAAAAAATACATGAAAATCCTGAGCAACCTTAGACAAAATGAAGGAGAATGATTTGAGCATGCAGACAAGACGAGACGAAAGATCCAACATTGAAAGAACTCATGGGGTGGCAACAGGAGCAACAAGAAAAGGACAGCCACACAAAACAGCTTACAGGAAACTTAGAAACATGAGAGTTAGTCAGAAAATATTAACAGTGACTAGGGAGAAAGAGAAGATCATACCCAAAATAAAAATATCAGATTGACATTAGACATCTCAACAGCAACACTGGAGGCAGAGAAGAAGTGTAGTAACTTTTCTTTAACGTATTGAAGGAAAGACTTTCAAGATCTAATATATATCCATTGAACTATCATTTAAATTGAGGGGACAATACATGTATTCTCTAGTGTATAAGTCCTCAGAAGACCCTCTCTAAAAACCCTTTCTGGAGGAAGGCCTCCAGAAAGAAGAGAGCTATATCCCAGAGGTGAAAATGAGCTGCGTGGGCTGTAATGTGAGTAAAATCACCTAGTAAATTTATTTTTGTCTCAAAAGGCAATCCTTTCCCTTGAAATTATAATCATACTAATCACAAACTGAGTGAGGAAGATACCAAGACAGTCTGTGGTAAAGTTGGGGAACAAAAGACACCAAAGGGAGTAGACGGCATGTTAAAATCCTAAGCTCATGGTTGAAGCAGGCAAAAATAAGAAAAGATAGAAGTGATATTGTTAAGCTTGAACATATATAACATATAGAACTTTATCTAGAAGTAGAGAAGACATTATTTTGAGCACCCAAGAATCATTCTTAGAAATCGACCATAGGCATAAAATTTAAGGAAGGAATTCATTGAAAATATGACAGTTCATATCGATAGTGAGAGGATAGTTTAAACCCCTACTACTTGAAACTTAGTATAGTATAAAATAACCTTTGGTTAGAGAAAAATTATGAGGAAAGAAATTTACAGCTGAACAACAGTGAAATCATTATGTGATAAATATTGTGTGATAGAGATAAAGCAAATTTCTTTGGAACGAGATTCATAATTTAAAGAAACATCAGAGAACAAAAACGCTTAAAAAAGTTTTTAGTGATAAAACACACATAACATAAAAGTTACCAGCGTACATTTTTAAGCACAGGTTTGTAGCATTAAGTACATTCACATTGTTGTGCAACCATTACCACTATCCATCTCCAGAAATTTTTCATCTTCCCCAAGGAAAAATCTGTACCTATTAAACACTAACTCTCCATTGTCTCCTTCTGCAGCCCTGGGCAACCTTCATTCTACTTTCTGAGCCCATGAATTCAACTACTCTAGGAACCTCCTATAAATGACATCCTAAAGTATTTGTCCTTTTGTGATTGGCTTATCTCACATAGCATAATTTCTTCACAGTTCATCCACGTTGTAGCATGTGTCAGAATTTCCTTTCTTTTCTAAGGCTGAATAATACCACTATGCATCGCTTAACAACAAGAATCGCTTCTGAGAAATGAGTGACTAGGCAACATTGTTGTGCAAACATCCTAGAATGTACTTGCATAAACCTAGATGGCATAGCTTACTATGCACCTAGGCTATGTGGTACTAAGCTTATGGGACCACCATTGTATATGCAGTGCATTGTTGACCGAAACATGGTTACATGTCTCGTGACTATATTCCGTTGAAAGAGTCCCTGGACCCAATTTCAGCCTTTGAAATAAACAAGAAAGGAAGTTGACAGAGAAGCCAAGACATGGCAGGTAGTTTCTAATCCATTGCTGGAGTTACAGAAGTGAAGTAAGTGGGACCCCATCTTTCTCCCTCTCTCGCTCTCCCTGTTCCTTCCTAATTTCTTTTTGTTTCCTTTTTTTACACACCTGGGAGATAATGTGCCCTAAGTAGTCGCTTGGAAGATGAATGAAATAGATTATTCTCAGAGCGTTTATCTTTTGTTTGTTATTGAAAATGTTCAAAGAGATATTTACAAAGATGCAACATATTCTATCACAGTAGAAATGGAAACAGCCTACATGTCCACTAGCAGAGGGCTGGTTATAGAAATCTTGACATAGCCACACAATGAATTAGTGTCCAATCATAAAACAAAAGCAAAAAAGACCAAACAGGGCCTTGTACCTCTATGAACTGAAAAGGAAGTTTTCTAAGAAACGTTATTTGAAATGAGCAATGTTAATTCTGCATATTAAGATATCATTTGCAAAAATAAAAAGATTAGTTTATGTTTAAATAAGCATAAATTATTCTAAGAAGATGTTCAAAAGTGTTATAGTGGTTGGTTTTGGGGAGGATGTGGGGAGATGGGCGAGACAAGCCTTTAAGATTTAATTTCACACCACTCTGTTCTGTTAGTGTTATTTTTTTTTATCTTGAGCATATACTAATTTAAAAGTAAATATTTAAAAGACTATGTAAGTTTTAGCAGTATAAAATTGAAGTATCATTTAGCAGGGACACTGGACCCAGGAAGCCTGTTGTGAGGCAGGACAGAGCAAAGAGCGGTCCAGTGGAAACTTGAGATGGGAAGTCTGTGAGCCTGAGGAGGAGCAGAAGGGAGGACCAAAGGGAGGACACTGCTCTAGTTCCTCTTTACCAGCCCATTTTAAGACAGGTAATCTTGGGGAAAAAGTCTACATTTGAGACTTATGGCAGTGTATCTCAAAATGGAAATTACCTTGAACAGATTGTTAAAAATAAAGTCTTGACCCTATTTTAGAATATCCAAAGAGAAATCCTTATAAATGGGCCCTAGGACTCTGCACTTCCAACATGTTTCCAGTTGATTCATTGGCAAAGTGAAGTTTGAAACTGTAGGTATTAGGGCCTTTGATGGAGAGTGAAATAGAATCATACCTCCCATTGAATTCCATATTACTGCTGTGGCTGGCCCCCTGGAGGTGGTGGTCCCTGGGGCCCTCCAGGAGGAGGTGGGGGAGGAGGATTTTGATTGCCTTGTGGTCTGGGTGGTTGCTGCTGGGGAGCATCCTTAGAAGGGGATCTTACTGGATGTCTTCCTCTTTGGGGTCCTCTCTGCTCAGGAGCATCCTGTTGGTCTCCATCAGCAGGAGGGGCTGGAGGTGGGGGTCCTGCTGGTGGGGGTGGTGGTCCCTGGGGCCCTCCAGGAGGAGGTGGGGGAGGAGGATTTTGATTGCCTTGTGGTCTGGGTGGTTGCTGCTGGGGAGCATCCTTAGAAGGGGATCTTACTGGATGTCTTCCTCTTTGGGGTCCTCTCTGCTCAGGAGCATCCTGTTGGTCTCTATCAGCAGGAGGGGCTGGAGGTGGGGGTCCTGCCGGTGGGGGTGGTGGTCCCTGGGGCCCTCCAGGAGGAGGTGGGGGAGGAGGATTTTGATTGCCTTGTGGTCTGGGTGGTTGCTGCTGGGGAGCATCCTTAGAAGGGGATCTTTCTGGGCGTCTTCCTCTTTGGGGTCCTCTCTCCTCAGGAGCATCCTGTTGGTCTCCATCAGCAGGAGGGGCTGGAGGTGGAGGTCCTGCTGGTGGGGGTGGTGGTCCCTGGGGCCCTCCAGGAGGAGGTGGGGGAGGAGGATTTTGATTGCCTTGTGGTCTGGGTGGTTGCTGCTCAGGAGCATCCCCTAGGTTTACATCCTCTGAAGGGGGTCTAGGTGGGCGTCCTACAGGAGGTGGTCTTCCTCCAGGAGGTGGTCTCTGAGGCTCTTGCTCTTGGCTCTGGCTTGAGTTATCTTCATCTGCAAGGGTATGACAGAAGAATAGATGAGCTTAGTGATCGAATTCTCCCCTTTCCTTTTCATTTCTGATGACCTTTTCCAACACCCTTTTTTCTCAGAGCCTGCCTCCTAACTTCCAACCTCACTCCTGTCCACAGCTCCCTTATGCAGTAAAATCTTAATGTGCACACCAGTGATATGGAAATGCTAGTTCTTTGCTCCTGAGACAAACATGTGACTTTGAGTTTGATGAAGCAGCAGTTCTTAGATATCTTAAAATTCCCAGAGAATGTCTCCAAAGGCAGAGTAAAAGAAAAGTGATTATTAATTTCACTTATATTGCCAGTTTTATTTCGAGCCACTGACATAACTTGCCAACTGTGACTCCCAGTCTGGCCACTTGGGCTCCATGGGGGAACCTCAGGCTGAAAGACCCAGGTAGAGAAATACTAAGAGAGAGAGAGACAGTGATGGCCCACACAGGATTCACTAAAGATCTGTGGCAAATTGTTATTGGCCGCAGGGACACAGTCAAGTGCAGAAACATGGAGAAAAGGGAGCCAGATCCTTATTTCTTTGCATTTCTTGTTAGACCACAGGTTTATAGAGAGGAACACTGGGGAAGAAGGAAAAAACCTAGGGGTTGGTTTTCAGTAGGATGAAGGAGTCAGAATTAAGACTTCTGCCCTTTTTCTGTCACCTCTCAGCAGTCATTCCGGGCCTGAGGGAACAGGCAGCACACTCCTGTTGTCATCCAGGCCAGAGACATCTCTGTTATTCAAGTTGGGGACCTGCTCTTGGTTCCCAGAATTAAGGTTGGTTAAAGGATGGCCTATTTCTCTAGGGTACTAACATTAATCAATATTTGACAAGAAAATGATGATAATAAAACATTGGAGAATTGAAAAATTCTTGAGAAAAGAAAGGAATGAATTTTGATTGAGGATTAATTGGGACTTACCTGATATAAGGTCGGCATACACTTCATAGGAATCATCTAGGAAAAGAAGCACAGGATGAAGTGAAAAATGAAGTCCCAAATCTTTGAGAGCTCACAACTGTTCTACAGGGAAAGACACCCTTCCAACAACTACCTGTATATCTCATAAGTTAGCTTGTCTGTCATGGTCTGTGATGCCCTTGGATAGGGAGGAAGATGTAAGGGGATGGCAAGGATTTTAGTATTCTGAGAATCAACCAACCTCGGATCCTTCAAAGCCTAATGCTAATTTAAGCTAAGTGCTATAGTATTTCATGTTTTAGTATACTTCTGCCCTCTTTCATCATTAACTATTAGATTTATATTAACATGCTGTTCAAAAGGGGTGACCAGGAGAAAATATTTGGATACAGTCTTCCATAAATCGCCCACAGCACACTGAAATATTAAATGTGGGTGGGAGAAAAATGAGAATCTTGGGCCCTGGTATCTCTCTATCTCTACGTAGAGAGAAAGAAATCTCCTATTCTTTTCTCTGTCTCTAAAATAGCTCTGATGTGTGTTCATCTTCGTCTATATCGCATCCCCTAGCAATGCTACCTCACTCACTGTCTATATTCATTACCATAATATCTTCATAACTGAACGTCTCCTGTACCAGTCTCACCATCGTCCAGTGCATCCTTCACAGCACAGTCAGAGAGACTTTTCTCAAAACATAAACCCTACCTTGTTTTTCCCATGGCTGAAATTCTTTCTTGGGTTCCAACTGCACTTTAAATAAAATATAAGGACATGGCATGCAATGAGGACATGACTGGCCTTATCTTTGTCTTAAGACCACTGTAGCTTCCTCTTTCCTCTCATTTCTCTCCCCTCCATACCTCCTTCCTCACTGCAGTGTCATCTGCCAAGCCCCAAGCAGAGTCCCAATACCCCCCGCGCCATTTTTGTGTTTTTACCATAATTTGGGCGGTGAGCTGAGCTCAGGGCCAGCAAGGCCACTGAGAGCACAACCAGCAGCATCTTGGAGGAAGCTCTGGAATTGCTCCCGACTCTGTGCTGGGAGAACCCGGGCGGCTTCCTTTATAAAGACAACAGAACAATGGAATCTTTGAGCTCCACTCTGGATGGACCTCGTCACCTGATCGACTACGTGAGAGTTTACTCAGTCAAGTCAAGTGCATCCCTTGTTTCCTTTTGGGACTTTGCCCAGCAAGATGGTGTGGAGAGCTTGTTGTTGCTGTCTCACTCTTAAAAGGCACCACATGTGACTTGGGTCATTTTTGAAGGAACTGTGTCCAAGCAGTCAGTACTGATGTTAGAAATGTTTATGTCATCATCTGATTTTCAGACTGATGGTGAGAGTGTTTCTCTGTACTAACATTGTCTTTTGTGTGTGTGTGTATGTGTGTGTATGTGTTGACAGTGATCTTATAGCCAAAAGTGAAGAAGGTCCGTATCTCTGGCCATTATTACACCTCTGGCTCTATGAATCATTGTGTGTGTGTACCTGTCTTTATGATATTTATCAAAATTTTTTGATGAAAATTAGATCATTTCTGTGTAACATTGAAATGTGTGAGGAAAACAAATGTTTGGGCTCACATGGATGACAGAAAGTTGACCCTCAGCCTGTTCGGGCTCACAGAGATCATTCCAGATTCTCTGCATCTGTCTTTAATCAGGGAAGTGGCTCTGTAGAACACAGGTGAACTAAAACTGTCTGTTCTTATTACTATTCTTAGGCATTATGATATTTAGTGAAAACAATGGTGGACACAGAAGCCACTGTGGGATTTCTATATCTAAACTAATGAACACAGAGTCGTTTGAATGAATCATGCTATTTTATGTCTCTAAGACTTCTATGCTGTTTCCCTTTTCTAGAGTCTTCTGTAGGATTCAGTTTGGGCCTTATTTCTTCTAGGAAATACATTTTACCACCCCCACTTATCAATTAGTGGCTAAAATTATCCACTCCAATAATATAGCCGGATGCCCACCAAAAATCCTCTCTTGCATTACACTGATCGTCTAGTTTTCATTCCGGTTCTGTGCTGGAATGTGTTTTCTCAGATGCTTCTTCAACACAGGGAAATTTCTCTGCAATATTCAGATGTTCATTTCTCCCCAATCTCCCTCTGAAATTTATTTGTTGCTATTTAATCTCTTAGATCAATCTGCCCTATGTTTCCTTTCCTCTCATTTCCAGCTTTTTGTCTGTGTTTTCTTTTTTTGGCTATGCATTTTGGGAGAATTCCTTTATTTAATCATCTAAATCAGGGGCAGCTCTCCAATAGCTTTGTTGCTTTTGTGCGTAAAATTTCGCACCAAATTCTCGTGTTTCCAAAAAGGTCTTTTAAGTTACCTGCATTCATTGCCCTTTCAGCTGCTGGTCATTCTGTCATACTCAGTAGTTGTCAGCTAATCCTTCTCAGTGAAAATCAAGATGATTCAGTGTCATCAACTGCCACTTATCTCAGAACAAGTATAAGTCTCGTCTTATTGCTCAGTTTTTTTGCAGGGCTAGTGGGAATCTGAGATAGTTAGGCTGGGATATCACAAGGAGTGCCATGTGGCTGGAAACCCTAAATGTAGGCCTCATGAGCAATGTGGATGAGTGGATCCGTGAGTGTCTGGGTTGTGCCCTCTCTGATATGTTGTTCAGTTTTTGCGCAGGGCTAGAGAGAATTTGCGGATAGTTTGGATGGGATATCACAAGGAGGGCCATGTGGCTGGAAGCCCTCAAGACAGGCCCTTGAGAACTGTGGATAAGTGGATCCTGTGCTACGCACCTGATTGTGTGAGTCTGGCCCTTTCTAAACTGTTGCACAAAACATTAAAGGAAAGTTTTCTAATACAATGGAGTTTGCTCCGGATAACTTTGCCCTTGCAAGGTGATCAGGCAGACTGTTTTTCTCTTTTTTTTTTTCCTGGCATAATTATGGCTATATTCCAGAATGGGGGATACAGTAGCAGTTGGCCATTCTTTTCTGGCTGCATGGGAAAGCAGAATGGATCTAGCTGGGCTTTGTGGGAGGAAAGGAGTAGTTTCTAGGTCCCCATTATTTGCATATTCAGTTTTCCTTTTTTACTTAAGCTAATTTTAGTTGGGTTTCTTGCATTCGGAGCCAAAGTGATCCTGCTGGATAAAAGAGCGCTAACTGCAAAGCACACACTTTGAGGTATTTCTTCCTCAAACAAAAACTACTCGACTTATGTCAGTAAGGTAGTAACACACATTTTATGAAACAACTCAGAATTATTCTGTAAAATTCCATATATTGGATTTCCTAAAGTTGCCGACTGGCTGCAACAAGAGTCATATTCTGTCTCTTTGGAGCCCCTTTTGCTGTTCCAGACCAATCATATTTGGAGGCGTTTTGGTGGGCTAGAGGGGAAAGTTGGTATTGCATGCCATTTTTTTTCCCCAAACTGGCTTCATGCAGATCTTCTTTGTTTTATGCCTTTTTCGGTAGGCATAATGTGTGCCTTCTATTTAGAGCTTGGCAGAACAAACGCAAAATGGAAAAAGCCTTATCAAGAGTTACCAGAATTAGATTAAGTGCATGTCTATTTTGAACAGAGATAGAGAATATATTTATCAATTTGAGGGCATAAAGCTTAATTCTATTAAATTTGGTAGATATGAAAATCAGAATCTGAAATATTTTCATTTCTAAGCTATAATCAACCTTGTATGAAGTTCTCTATGAGATTTATAATCAACCTTGTATGAAGTTCTCTATGAGATTTAAAAATTAATTACTCAAGTAGCAGTTTAAGCAAAATCTGCTTGTTTCAGTTAATGGCTAGCTCAGTAAGCGTTAAGAGTGTAAGCAGTATTAAGAAAATAAAATCGTACCTAGTCTTTAAGAGAAGTATAGTGAGTAGACTATTGGAGTTAAGGATGAATCTGTGGCTGAGGGATAGTTCCTCAGATCCCCTCCTCCAAACACATGAAGTTTGTCAGTCTTTTCCAGAGATGTTCATGAATGGGCTCTGTGCCCTCACAGAAATTCAGGTGGATAGATTCTCATCACTCTATATAATTTCAAGATAGATGGAAGAGCCAGAGGAAATCCAAATTTCCTTTTTTGACTTGAGGTCAGCAATCTTATCGTGTAGGTTTCTTTTTTAATGCTGGTTTTGTAATGCTTATTGTAAAAGTGTCATTTAGCCCAGGAAGTTTTCCTAACATTTTCCCAAATAATGGGAATGCATAGAAGTTATCAATGTACCATTACAGAAAAAATATCAGAAACAATATCCCCACATGAAACAAAAAGAGTACCAGAGAAGTGTGTATGAACTTCCTGCCAAGGATGAAGGTCAAGGTTAAAGGCAAGTAGAGAACAGGTAGCTCTTTAATCCTAGTTTAAATTTCCAAGCAATTCAGCTTCAATCCCTTATTTTACTCATTTGTGACAATTTAGAGTTTTTCCTTTTTCTTCTGCACTATTAGAAACGTGTTGACTGATGCCCTTTGTCATGAGCTGTCCTTCAACATTGATTACTAAGGGATGTCTATTAGGAATAAGTACAGAATTTTAAACTCAACCGTTCCTGTGGCTACTGAGAGGCAATGCAGTGAGGGTTTAAAACTTCAGCACAGGGCGGTCCCGTTGAGAAAGACTATTAAGGCCCTTAAGTCAGAAATTTTGTTTGTACTTACATAACGTATTAAATGTATCTGAGCATACAAAACTGTACGGGAAGGCCTTTGTGCACATTCTAACCATTGCCTTTTAAATGCTTATCAATCATGTAATTTAATGAACTTTACTCTTTAGGGTAATAGATTTCCTGCCCATTTTTCCTTAGGTTTCTTCTATTGTTCTTATTCCATTTTTGTTGAGATGAATAGTTAATGTATTTTCAATCATCTGGAATTTATTTCCTAATGGCATGAGATAGGAGATTAATTAATTTTTTTATGCATAAACGGCTTCTTTGGATTAAGATTTTTGTGTTTTTTCAACATTGATAACTAATCAGCATCTATTGTGGCCTGCTCTGGACACAACACAAATCCCCTCTGAAGACTCTGTTTTCCCTCTTTCGCTAATATACTATTTCTTACTCACGTTCGATTAAAATTAGCTAGAATATTGTTTTAGCTTAAAAAAGTTATCTTCAGATTCTTGGACATTATTTCTGATTTCTTTAAGTTTTATTGCTATTTCATTAGTAATTATTGAGAAAATTATTATTTCTAATCCTCTGTCCTTATTCTTTTTTCTTGGCCCCTTTTGTGTTCATTTTAGTGGACAAATTCTTTCAAAAATCATTGTAATTCTGAAATGTTCTCATGTGCTTTGACAATTAAATGGTATATATCCTAGTTTAAGAAGTTATCCTTCAGGAATTTTGAAAAAATTAGTTTAATATCTTAAGTTTGCAAAATTTCAGATGAGAAGTCTAAAGTCAACATGATGCTCATTTATTTGCTGGAGATGTCTACGTTTTAGTTTCCTATTGTACCTTTGGAAGGCTTGTTAACTTTCTCCTTATATTTGAATTCATAAATTTTTCCAGATTCTTTCTGGGAGTGTTTTTAACATCACTTTCTATTAGCACTTAGTGAGTCTGGAATAATTTTCACTTTAGAAAAGTTATCTTAGATTATTTTACTGATAATTTATTCTTTATATTTTTTATTTTAGAACCCCCTCTATACAGTTATAAAAACTTTTTATTTTTAATTTCAGTAACATTGGTTTATAACACTATTTAAATTTCTGGTGTACATCATTATATGTTGATTTTTGAGGTGAATACATCATGTTCAACACCCAAAGACTAATTACAATCCATTACCACACACATGTAATCACCCCTTTTGCCTTCCTCCCTCTCCAATTCCCCTCTGGTAACCACCTATCCAATCTCTGTTGCTATGCATTTGATTGTTGTTGTTTTCATCTTCTACATATGAGAGAGATCATACCGTATTTGATTTTCTCCCTCTGACTTATTTCGCTTAGCATACTACCCTCAAGGGCCATCCATGTTGTCACAAATGGCCAGATTTCATCATTTCTTACGGCTGAGCAGTATTCCATTGTGTGTATAT